TACATTTCACACTGTGGCATGCCTCCTGTACATTTAGTCATAGCACATGTACCACATCACCAAAGGAGAGTAATATCATGTAGCGTTGAAACACTTAGCCGATTAATTACAAGACCAAATACTATTACGATAATAAATCATTTTATTCATTTCTCAAGCAAACATGCCAAATATTTGCTGCTACTAGAGTGAGGATAAGGTGAAGATGGGGTGCATTTGTGCTGAACACCAATGTAGATTGAATACCTTTTTTTAATTACTTTTAGTCAAATAAAACAAGCAATTTGAATTACAATCAAATTGGGGTCTTGGAAATTGCGAAGATCAATTAAAAAAAATGTCTGACTTTTATAGAACAATTAATTGATAAAAAATTAAAATAATCATTAGTTGTAATCTCAATCTTCACTGCCATTTACACAGGAATAACACAAACAGATTGGAGCATTGTGCATTTGTCAGAGAGCATCCAGAGGGGGCACATTTATCCAAAATTGCTGACTTAATAATTGTAAGGCTGCTGGTTTTGTGGCAGCTGTGAGCTGGAAACTAAAGGCATTACCTCTTCAATGCCCTCAAACGAGGAATCTCGAGCAAAGTAATTAGCCACAAATTGCTGTTGGGCTGCTGCACTGCGAAACACTTTCAGCTGTGTCCTTATTGAAGAAATGCACTTGAGAAGGACGTGTATGTGTGTGTCTAAAAGTGATATTAAGTCACTATATGCATTTTGAGTTTAATCAACATTTTCAAAACCCATCAAATGAGCAAGAGGATCAAATTCATGGTGTATCAAGCTTTGGATGCACATGAGTAAATATGGCACTCAGCATGATCCAAACACACACTGCCATGCCAGCTGCCCATGGGAAACACACTCAACATGATTAACAAGGGCTGCATGGACAACGTCTGTGAAAATGACCACCATCATAGCACAAATGTGTAGAGGATCATAAAGAATCATCTGGCAACGGCTGCTAACATGTCGATACTTGTTCAGTTTTTAACCACCCAAGCATTTCATTCGAAAATGTGCATCTACGGACACACATATAGCTTCACTGATGAACACCAAAGAAGCATTATCTGCAGTATTTAGCCTAATGTGCCACCTTTTATAGAATTCAAATGTTTTTTTACCCAGACGGCAAAGCTCTTACCTTGTGTGGCAAAGTTGACTGCCAGCAAAGTGGTCAGCACCTTGCCAAAATTCTCACCAGTGTATAAGCACTCTGGTTCAAACCCCTGGAAAGAAAGGAACAGAGAAGATGAAGAAGAGCAAGTTAAAATGTGAAGTTCTACACAAATCCGAGCAGCAAAACAAACAATACACACACATGCACACACCCACACCCACACACAATGAAACACAGGGATTTTAATAAACTTATAACAAGACAGAGATCAAATCCGACATGTTGAGCGTGACCCATATTTTGTGACTTAGTAGTTAGTAATAAAACAGACAGTGCCAGTCTCATTTGCAATTCGCTATGCACTTGCGCGCACACACTGATGATCGCCACATAAACAGTCACACTGCTTGATCACTCGGTCTCAGACAGCTATCTTCTTTCCTCCAGCAGATAAGGTTTCCCATTTTAAATAAAACATCTTAAATATACAGTAGAGTTTGAGCAGTCCAGGCTTGGTCATGAGTTGCGTACAACCTCACCTAGAGGTAAAGTGTGACTGTTAGATCTCTGTAAGGTGGGATCGGCCTGAGGGTCAACATCACTACTAAGATTTACTTTTCTCACTTTTCATCGTGTTAAAAAGGGGGTTAAACACAGTGTCGTACAAAATGATTTTGTACTTGTTATTTGAAAGTAGAAAAAAATGGAAAACCCCATACACAATAATAAAACAAAATGGAGTGGATAGGTCTTACATCACAGTATTGATCAGTAATAACGGTTGCCAGTATTGACATCTTGACCATTGTCAGCGCCAGTAGTTTCTATGATTCATGTTAAATTAAATTACTACAGTAAGTGTATAAAACCAGAACAAATAAATAATTTCATGCAGTTAATAACACAGCTAAAAATATCCTTGAGCAGTAATTGGCGCTTCCTCTTTCTGCATCTCAGTGCAGAAGTGAAAGCAGAACGACTGCTCCCTTTGTGCAGTCACAGGACAAACAGGCACCATATGCTATGGCAAAAAAAGGTTCTCCAAGCATGATCACATCACTGACCAAAATGAAGGGTATGGCTCGCCGTTGCGCTACAGACATCCCCTGACCGATCCACTTGACAGAGGCTCTCCAAAAACGACAGCCCGTGAGCTACTGGCGGGCCGCAAAAGGTCTAATTATGGGCCAAGGCTGAGTTGGTGGATAAAAGCAAAGGGGACCTCCCAGACATAACAAGCCAGCTGGGCAGGAGTGCCAAACCACTTGACTCTGCAGAGAGCCAGCTTGCGGAGTCAATTAGCTGTTTAAAGAAACCAACTGAGGTGACTCAAGACCAGAAAGGAATATTTATAAAGCTAGAGGACACATTACTGTCCAGTGTGGCGTTCACAAACAGGCTGGTACAGAGACAGGGAAAACTCCCAACATCTGTGAATGATTTGCCCCTTTCTAATATTAGAACATCTCTTTAGCAACACAGCCATGCCGTGTATTGCCCAGTAAGCAATACATATAAATGTCCCTGCAGTATGAAAGAGAAAGGGAATTTAAAAGGAAGTAAACACTGTTGAAAACTAAGTTGTGGCCATTTCAAAACAACAGGACAGGTCCCTTCCTGTCTGGTCAGTGGGAGTGACTGACAGCATGGATGCAGAACACAACACAAGCAAGAGTGTGTTTAAGTCTTGTCTATAAACTGCAGTGGGCTCAGGGGGCTAAGTAAAGAGATCATGAAAGAGGGGTCAGCCCATGTCATAAGTAACATTGCACTTTTTATACACTTAAATTTGACTAACACTTACCTCCACTTTCAAAGACGAGCATCCTCTTAAAAACTCCTTGATGTTGGTAATGCAGTCGGCTTCAGTTCTTGGATCCTGGCAATACTGAGCACACACACGAAATAAATATATAAACACAAACTACGGCTTAGTAAGGGAGACACACATCTGACACAAGCCTGACACCGACGTGATATTTCATTTAGGTACACATAAAAGCGCAAGTAAATCCGGTTAACTACAGTTAACAAAATAACTGTGGATTCTTTCTGGGTCTCCTTCATGCATATAAAACCATTACACCATAGAAATGTCAAAGTAGACACATTTAGGGAAAACATCCGCTCACTTGTCAAATTTTCAAAATAAAGTTATGTTTAAAGACCGCATTGCAACGTTAACACATTTAATGAGGGGAACAATCTGGACTTTTTATTAAGTATAAATCACACTGTTCTTTTATAGGGGATTGTATGACAACCAAACAAGGTCAACAGCAACAAACAAAAGGCGAGGTAGTAAATGTGAAAAGAGAGAAGTTACTACTTCCGGTTTTATTCTCTGCTTCAGCTGTATTGATGCCTTTTTTCAAAGGGGGAGGTCGTACAGGGAAGAGCCTTCAGGAGGAAGTGACGAACTGTCTTTGCAACTGTTATTTGTCATTATCAACTTTGTCATCTTAACAACTAAGAGTGTAATTATGGTTGGTTTAACACGTCGAAAAAGTTGTTTAAAACCGAGTCCTGTATGACCCCCAGCTCACTGTCTCCAATATGGCTCTGTGTCCAATGTTTCACGCACTCTTCCTACCGAATAATGTGTCCTGTTTTGGTGGGTGTTCACACCGACTCACTCATGTCAAGAATGCGGAACATTTTGCTTGCTTCACAGGAAACCACATATTGTAATCTCATATCTTAAAACTAAACAAATGCGGCTGTATTTTTGATTCACTGGGCATCATACTGAACGCACAGGCGGCTATTAAAACTTCACGGCTCAAGAAGTGAGAGCTACAGAAATGAAAGGCCTGCTGCAGGCAGAAGTTTTATATCGGTATCATTTTCATCAAACACCTCCCTTTCTTTCACCAGCAGCCGTCGATCATTTGTCGTTTGTTGACTTAGTAAACTTAGATCAACAACTCACCTTGGGAGTAAAGCCAGGTATAAGTCTCTCCGTGAGCTTGCACAGGACGACCCCATCCTTCAGCGAGGTTTTCAAAAACTCCTCCGGGTCCGCTATGTTCTTTTTAGGCGAGCTGAGCACTCCGAGTGATATCAACCACGTTACGGTCTGCTCCTCTGGATTCATAGCTCCACGAAATGATCATTGCCTAAGCACGCATTGCTATAAAAGAAATAAAGTGGCGGCCTGTTCCGTATCAATATGCAACTCACATCCGCACTTCTGCTAGAAGTTAAAAAAAGAGGCGGTGGGGGAAGGACGACGCTGTTTCTACACGCAAAACTGATGATCACCCCTACTGGCAAATAGGCACCTCAACAATGGACAGGAGTCGTTTTCCTCTGCAAAGTAGCACATGCTGGCAGAGGGCACTTTCTCCAATATCATGTTACAAGTGAAAATGCAGCAATCATTAGGAAATACCTCCAGGGAAGTGATATTTGAAATGCATCAGCAATTTTTTGCAAAACAAAAATGGACCATTTTACACTGTAGGAATGAGGTGATGCAATCCTTACATGTAAATAGTCAAAATGATGTTTCATTGCCGTTGAAAGCCATAGCATCCTCACCAAGTAAAACCTTGTTGGTCAACATGCAAATTGATTCATGTGGAAGTTTCTGATAATACAAGCTGTGTGAAGAATTTGAATCAGGAAATAGGAAGTCCCAATACATTTAAAAGATGAGGAAGATAAAAGCTGAACATGTTAAATGCCAGTTTATCAACTTTTAGAGAAGCATCGGAATTACAATCAATCTAGAATAAAAAACACAAACAATTGTTACAAGTAGCGCAACTGCCACACACCTCAGTATCATTAACAACTATATTTGACTATTGTAAACAATCAGAACAAATTTACAAAACTGAGTGAACAACAAAAATGTCATTTTAAAGTCTTTATTTAAAAACAGCAGAAACACTTTAATTCGAGCCTCTGTTCGTCCCACTTTCAATGCACATTTCCACTTGAAGATTCCACCAGCACTCTCAAGGGAAGCCTGTGCCAGCAGCTGAAAAGCAGTAAATATAAAAAAAAAAAAAAAAGAGAAAAGCCCATTACATATGTTTCATTTTACAGCAGTATTAATACACTCAATCATTGTCAACATTTCAAAAGTAGAGTTTCACAACGTTTTTAGTGCAAGAGATGTAGATTTACTTAGCAAGAACGTATTGTATGCATACTTTGCAGTACATACATTTTTCAAGTAGACATACCCGCACTGGTGCACTTTGGTTTATTGGTCCAACAACTTGAGGACACAATTCAGGATAGTTGCAAGGGCAGTTGCCTTGGAGGAGGGTTCATCCTGCAATTAGAACACACAATTAACACGTTGCCCTTATCTTCAGCTTGTATTTCAAAAGCATCTGAAAATTATTATATATAGTCCTTGGTCCGACTGCGAATTGGCTTCAGCAATTGTTTCCAGTTTGGCTGTTGGGACGATGGCGTTCTTCCAGAGGTCTCCGTTGTTTGAAATGGCATGCTTGTGGTTAAAGTTTTGAAACCGAGACATTTTCTTTCAAATTTAAAAATGTTCTTTTTCCAAAAAGTTCTTACAAGTACTTAAGAAATCTTTATTTTGATTTAAAAATGACCTGTTGCCAATCATTTAACTGAGGTCGGACGATTTCTTTGGCAAAAATGGTCATTTAAGGGCTCAGTTTTCAAAATGGCGGTTACACGTTCATTGCTGAAAAAGGACGAAACTTATTGGGATGTTGCGGCACTTTTCACAATGTTAGCTGATGAAACCGGACTACATCGAAAAAGGCTCATTCAGTTGAACTTTTTTTTCTTTTGTTCCCCGAGGCAAAAGCTGTCTTGGGTACCACCCTTTGAGGGGAGATTGCAATACAGGACAATGAGAAACTCATTTACTGATGAGAAACAAAGAGGTTTGCTTTGCTTACCAGCTGTTGACTACCAGTCGAGTTGCATTTGGTTGTTGTTGCCTTTGGTTTTGTCGTTGCATGCCATCAAATGACTCTAGGGTGATGGATCCATTTCCAAGGAGATTACATTGGAACATTTTGACAGTAACATTTGCCAAACCCTTGAAAACAGTAGCGTCCAGTTGTTGGCACATTTGTGTTAAGAAGAACTCAAGTCACTTGACTATAGAGCATTTGCAGAGACTCACCTATGCTTGCAGAGAATATTTCAAAGGAGATCATGTTTTTAACTCAACATTCTTGTTACGGTCTCTGGTTGTTCATTTGAAAAATCGATGAGCAGTGGTCAAGGTACAACTAAAAGCTTTATTAGGAGTAGGAAAGCCAGACGGATAGGGCATTGCAGTTTCCAACAGCACTGATGTACAAAAACTAACACTAACTTTGTAACTGTACTGTTACATGTACAAGAGAAACACTACAAAAAAACAAAAAAATACTTTTACACATAAAAAACTGGAAAATTCAAGGTACAGGTCAAAGCTAAGCCTCACTTTCCACATATTTAGACATGGCTAGTTTGTCTCGTTAGATTTCTTCCAAAACACTTGTAACTGTGCACGTTGACTAACGTTTACTTTAATGTGATTTCCAAGTCCAGTTCAGTATCTGCTGCGAGCCATCCCTCTATCGGGTCGATTGCCACCGCGGCCACCGCGTGGCCCTCCACGGCTTGAGCTGCTGTACGACTCACGAGGAGGGTAGCCTCTCTCAACAGGGGGAGCTGGGCCCCTCTCCTGCCTGCCCATTCGCTCGCCACGACTAGGTGGATATGGCTCACTCCGACTGCTGGGGTAACTGTCACGACTGCCATAGCCATCTCGGGAACTGCTGCCATAGTCATCGTAACGACTGCTTCCACTGCTCCCACCATAGGCTGGTGGGGGGCCCCGTGAAGTTGGGGCGCTGCGAGAGTTACCTGCAGGGTCAATGGGTCAGGTAATTGGCACGGTTCAACTTATACATTTCCATGCACTGTGAAGTGCTATTTTTTTTTTTTTTTTTTTTTTTTTGATTAGATGAATGATCTAAAAATTTGTAATTATTGAGGACATGTTTAAATGTCCCATCATGTAATCAATCTTAAATGTATCATGGACATTAAGTCGATATGGCCTTTCACATATCCAAGCACTGGGAATAAATGGGCGGTGTTACCCATTTCTAGCATGCCATTGATTTGAGAAGCCATTTTTCCTTTTAGAGCTCCAAGTGTTAGAACTGCGGAGGGACGAAGTTTTCAGAGTCGTCTTGATGTTTTTTTCTGAACGTTACTCCTTGAGGGAGAGCTTTGCTAGGCAACACATACGGAGTGGTCAACGGTCGTTTCCAAGGACTTTTTGGGACTCCTTACGGTATGACGCTCTCTGGGGCACATTAAAAGTGTTATTTCTGCATGACATTGCCACAAACACTGAATCTTTGTTGAATGCAGTGGTAACATGGACTGTCATATGTGGACTAATGCTTTAGATATAATTTAGTTTTTTGTTGAAAAGCCAATGGTCATATTTTGAATAGCATGAAAATACGCAACTTGGAGTGCAAGTCAGGGTTGTGGCAAAGGGAAAGAAAAAAGTTTAAAGAGGCTGTCTGAAATTCGGTTTTCTCTGGTGAGGGGGAAAAAAGTGCAGGGGCTTGTGACTGGAGACTGGTAGTCAATGGTTTGATTTGGTTGGTTATTGATGCAGCTCTTCTTTGTCCCACAGTAGGTATCTGTCGTCATTACAATCATGGAGTCATGTCTTACCGTAACCATCATATGAATCTCTGTAGGAGCCACCACTTGAACGGTCCATGTAATTTCTCGGTTCTCGGCCTCCCCCATAGCCATCGCGATCACTATAAGACAGGAACAATTGTTATTTAAAAAAAAATGTGAGCCTCAAAACCTCCGTTTTTTACCCTTTGTATTAACCAGAAGTCTTACCTGTATCCTCTTGACATCGAGCCATAGTCGTCTCGGGAACTGGAGTTGGAATATTCTCTGCATGAATCATCTCTTTGAGGAGGTCCGTAGTCCCTTGAGTCTCTCGAATTATAATCCCGACTGGAGTAGCGGTGAAACATAGAAAGATTAACTGTAAATCCGAAACCCTGATAAGCAGAATATTCTTCGTTTTTTTTTCCAAAGATCTACACAGTTATGTTATATAGACAAGACTAAAGTAACATAAAAATCTATATCTTTTTAGATCTAAAGACAACTTTCTTTGAAAATAAAAATGTTATAGATTGAGATTCAAGCCGCATAAAATTGAATGTGGATCATATTTTACTCACGTTTTTAATTATTACTTCACAACTGCCCCTTTTTTTTGTTCATGTATAATGAAACCTTTTAGAGATATCAGAAACAAGCAGGCTAAATATTTTTGTTTCGACACATCACTGTAACCTAATGTCCCACCTATCTTTGGAGTTGTAATGTTCATCTCTTGGTGATGGATAATCATCCCTCCTGGACATCATGGAGTCTCTGCGAGGAGGGGGTGGACCATAGGGATCCCGGTCTCTTGACATGGGGGCTGCAACACACAAAGTATTGACAAAAATTATAAGATGCCCACAGGCCATCTGAGTAATTGCGTGAAAGCTAGATAAGTGAAAAACCTTGTTGGATAAAGACATCTTTTTGAAGACTACACAGCAGGCACACTTACTTCTGCTCATGGGACCAGATGGGGCAGACCTCTTGGCTGGGGGACCTCCGTTACGAACTGGGGGTCCTCTTTTCATTGCCGGGGGGCCTCGGGATGACATCCCTTTAAAGAAGGGTTCTACATTCCCTGAATTATCATAGTAGTCTTTGCACAGACAAGAAATACAGATATTAACACACTAATCTCAAGACAAAAAAAAAAACATTCAAAACACAATCAAAAACTTGAGCACACATTCAATTAGTTTGAAACTCAACTGATCATATCAAGAATTTACCTCTGGATGGTGGACTTCTCATACCACCAGCACCACCCCTGGAACCACGGGGCCCTCTGGGTGGACCACGACTGCGTGATTGCATGGGGGGTCCTCGCCTGCCAGCACTCTCAAATTGAGGCTTTGTAGCTTGTTCCACTTTGATAGGCTTGCCATCAAGAGACTGTTAAAAAATAGTTACAATTAAAATCGCAACTTCAAGCAGATTTGTTGAAAAGCATGACTGATTGAAGATTGTACTTGTTATTACCTTTCCATTCATCTCTCGTGCTGCATCCTTTGCATCAGCCGGACTCTCAAAAGTAACAAAAGCAAAGCCTCTGGATTTGTTTGTCTCCCGGTCTTTCATCAAAAGAACTGAAATGATAAAGAAAAATATAAAGAAATACAAATAAAATCACAGATGTATAACATATAACATAACTAGTTCGGGAAACTAACTGCAAGATTATACTTACACAAACACGAAATGTGTGAAAAGGCAAACACTGAATGTCTTTACAATTGCCAGGTAAGTGAACACGTATTTAAGAATGACTTAAAGCATTGCATGAACGTTAAATATGTTTTGCAAAGAAGTAAGAAAGAATTAAATGGCCAGCAGTGGATCAGCACATACCTTCAACAATCCTGCCATATTTGCTGAAGTATTGCTCAAGGGCCTTCTCGGTGGTCTCGGTGTTCAGTCCCCCGATGAAGAGCTTCCCTGGTCGGTCTGCCTCTGCCATGCTACAAACTACACCACCTGAAACAAAAGCGGGATCTTAGGTCATTCAAAAATGTACACACACAAGCATATCACGTTGTCTAAATCCTTGCTTTCAGAATATTTCTGGTGGAGTTACCTTGTTGTTTGCGAAAGTCTTGAGCTGTCGAATGCGCAAAATGGCGATAAACGTGCCAGCTGTTTTAGCTAGTTACTTGGATAACGCTAGCTAGCAAGCTACTAACGGTTGTGTCGAGATTTCCAAATATAAACACGCTACGCTGAACACATGGAAACACATTAATTAATCATCAAACATGCAGCCAGGTGTTGTCAGACTATACTCTGTAGGTACGGTTGTTTCCATGGGTGTGTAGTGTGTATAAAGAGAAGCTTGTCCTCGCCGTTATTCTTTCCTTCTCTCTTCTTCTCCTTCACTTTTTCCGGCAGAGCAGACGCCATAAACAGTAACACTGCCACCTACAGGCAGAACGGAGTAGTAATTATTGAGCATTTCTGCTTTAAAAATGAACCATTACAAATAATCACGCTATTCACTTTACCTCTAATGTAAAGTAACTAAGTTCATTTACTCAAGTGCAAATTTGAGAGACGTTGCAATTTGTTGTGACTTTACTTCTACTCCACAAGGAATTCAGAGGTAAATATTGTAATTTTACATAAAAATATGATCAACACTTAAATAAGACTTTAGTTGCACCTGGATTAAATTCACATGCTACCCTGCAGTAAATATAATAATTCAAATGTATTCCACCTTTACAAGCTTGATAAACACATGTATACTTCAATAATCATTCATTAATATATATTATTCTAAAATAAGCTGCACGATTAGTTTTTTTAAGTTTGGTACTTTAAGTATATTTGGATGCTAATTATTTTGTACTTTTACTGGACTAACATTTTGAATTCCGGACTTTTACTTAAAACAGAGTATGCCTACACTTTGTTATTTCAAATCTTAAGATCTCTGAGTACTACCTGAGCATTTTACAAACTAAATATTTTTAAATTATCTGACAACTCCCACAGCTAAATAAGTGTATCCGACCAGTGGCTTTTACGACAACATTTTTGGAATATAGATTTTGTGAAGATATGAACACCGCGGGATCACTTTGTTAGAAAAAGAGGTGGGGACAATTTCTCCAGATTCAACATCAGCATAGCAGAAGACGATAAATAAATTAATTAATGTGAGAAAAAAAACAGAAATAAAAGAATGGGGAAATAAATACAGAAATAAATAAACACAAGAAAGAATAAATAAATACAGAAATGAATAAATAAATGTGTAAATAAATACAACACTAAATAAACACAAGAAAACAAAGAGAATAAAACAGAACACACATTATATATCTTTAATGTATTTTCTACATTTATTTTTATTAATTTCTGTATCTGTGCGTGTTTCACACAATGTTGTTTTGCTTGGTAGCCTTGTATTCTGTTAATACGACAACATTTCTAACAAATGAATGTACTTTCAATTGCTCTGAACGTTTCAACAAGTGCACGTGTCTTTAACAATATCTTTGAGTTGCTGTCATATTTTATTTCACTTCCTCTGACCAGTCCCACTTTTATTTGGAAGCTTTGTGTCAAGTTGTACATAGTGCAAAGAGAAACACAGTGACTCATCTCTCTTCAAAACATATTGTAAAAGCTACCGCACCGGGAATTTGCGACGTATTCATGTTCTCTGCAACTGTAAAGGCCCCTGAGACAAAAGTACAATTTGTGATGTTGGGCTAAATACATTTTGATTGACTTCGATTGATTTGGTGCAAGAAGTAGCAACACTGTTGCTATTAAAGGGTTTGTATTAAAAATGTTAAGTAAGTAAAGTGATAAGCGCAATATTTTCCTTTCGTAATTGTACCTTCGAGTAAATGCAAATGTCTGTTTGCAATATAATATATGAGTCGTATTTCTTGCGGGATACTTTGCCCGTACCGGATTTTCTGGTCAGTCGTCTTTAAATAATCTCCCATATAGATAGGCCTACTTGCCTACAATCCGAATTAAATATAAGTAAGTAAACCCTGAACTTTCTTTAACTTTCCCATTATACTTTGTTGACCTCCACATTCTTGTTATATTCTTTCATAAACCTTTTTGCAGTATAAAGCACAAGATTGTTCGTAGTGAGAAAACAAGGATGTTGATGCAGGAACCGACAAGCAACGTCAGTACTTCCACGGTGTCAAGCCTGTCAAACTGCTGCGAACAAAATATGACTTCCGGTTTTTTTCCTTTCAACTTAAAATAATTGGCGATGTATGTGTTACTCATATTGCACATATAATTGTTTAAATTCAAAGTCATACATAAAGGAACCTTACAAATATGTCATGACAGTGTAAACTCCAGCTATAAATGTATATTTGTTACGTACAACACAGATAACTTATTAAACGAATTTATTTTGAAGGGAAACTCGTTTAACTCGTTTAACTGGAGCCGATCTTGTGGCGTTTCGTCATCAATGCTGTTTGAGTCAGTCAGGTCAGCTACTGCGTCCCGAGTGCTAAGACGTACTAACAGTGTACGGCTAGCAAACATTCACTTTCTTTAGAAAAGGATAAGCTCTCCTTGGACAAAAGTTTTACCGAATCTTAGAATACAAGGTGTCCGTGGTAAAATGAAGAGGCGGATACACTGTGGTTTTGTGCTGGTTTATTCTCTCGTCTCGTATTTCTATTCGTGCTCGGCGTTTTATCTTCCGGGTTTAGCCCCAGTGAGTTTTTGTGCAAAAGACAAAGGCGGTGAAGATTGTCAGGTAACGTTATATTGAATTTATGATGTTCACAATTCTTATTTAATATAGTGCATTGTCTGTAGCAGTTGGAGTTTGTATATTCTTTTCAATGTGGTATCTTCTTAAGTTGCTAGCTAGCCAACACTCTCTTTAGGCCCCGGCTATTACCTGGAACCGGAGCATTAGCATAATATTCCAATGGGTTTATACATTGATTTTGCTGGCACACGTTGTCATTGCCATGGATGTTTTTAAACTAACTGACGTGTGGGAGTTTCACCAGCCCACCAAGAAACACAGAAACCATAGGAGTGCAGTGTGTGTCTCTGTTGTAGTAGATGAGATGGTGATAAAACCCTCAAAAGGACTCACCTTTCAACAATTGAAATAATACATTATAATAGATCATAGTCATCATTGTTCTTGTATTAACTGGGCGTTGCTGTGTTAAAGTTACCTGGCAGTTACCTTGGCCGTTGGATCTATGCAAATCAATTGACCTTTTGAGAGACTGATCTAATATTGAACTGAATAACTTGTTATTGCAATGGCCTACAAGTTGTCATCAACACATATTTATTGCTGAATTTCTTTCTTTATTAAGTGATCAGATCAACTCACTCAAAATCTCACTACCTGTCTATTTTTAAACACTGGGATTTGAACTACATTTATCATATGCATGTATATATGTATTTACATTTTTCTTAGGTGTATAGATGCATATATATCGTTTTTTTTATATGCACTGACAGGATTGTTTTTTTTACAATTCAATAACCATCATAACGATATATCACAGTTTAACCAATTATTTGGTTACGACAGATTCATTACTAACATTTGTTGTATGACTGAAACCAAAAAATAGAGACCATATATACAATGTTTTTTTCAGTTAAACACATCCTTTTTTTTGACGGACAATTGTGTGTGTTTCTTCTACAGACAGTGATTCAGCTGTTTGTCAATCGCCTTGACTCAGTAGAGTCAGTCCTGCCTTACGAGTATGATATGTAAGTAACGTTAACTTTCTACTTCATTCCATCTGTGCAATATCTTGATATACCTATGTTTTCTAGGTCACTAATATATTCTCATTATATGTTAAAAGGTTCGACTTTTGCAAAGATGAAAAGGAAACGAGGCCTTCTGAGAACCTAGGACAGGTGCTGTTTGGTGAACGAATTGAGTCTTCTCCCTACAAGGTGGGTGTCAACCAGAACATCTAAGCTTGCTTCTCTTACACTGTTTCTTATTTCACATTCCATACATCTGTTTTAATGTTTTTAATTGAAAATAATGACTGTTGTTTGCCTTAACAGGTCAACTTTCAAGAAGAAGTTAAATGCAAGAGTTTGTGCACCAAGTCTTACAAAAAGGGGAACAAAGAGGATGCAACCAAACTGGATTTTCTCAAGATGGGAATGCAGTTGAACTACCAGCACCACTGGTTTGTAAAGATAATAATGCATTGAAATGTTATATAAATAGCATGAGGTAGGGCTGCACGATATTGGAAAAAACTGACATTGCGATTTCTTTCCCCCTGCGATATGAAAACATACAGGAATTGAAGAAAAGACTGTTTTTTTTCCTGCAAACCATCCTTTCTTGAACTTTAATGCTATACAATTGGTATTTCTAAACTATATTTAAAGAATTTACTTTTTTTTTTTTTTTAAATCGCACATCCTGCCATGTGAATATCGCGATTATCGTCACGACACGATATATCGTGCAGCCCTAGCATGAGGTTTTGTTTGTTAAAGGGATAACAACAGAAATACAATCCAACACGAGCGGGCAAATAATGTATTTGTTAAGAAGTTGTTGTAGTAAGCCAATTTTTCTTTTCAGGATAATTGACAACATGCCGGTGACATGGTGCTATGATGTTGAAGATGATCAGAAGTACTGCAACCCGGGCTTCCCTGTTGGCTGCCTTGTGAACCAAGATGGAAAACCTAAAGATGCTTGCGTTATCAATGTGAGTTTGGATTTCTTTTTTCGAAAATGAACTCTATATTAAGTTTGACCTAATTGCTCATCTGATTGAGTAGTTGTCCTCATGATATACTACGTTACCTGGGATGCTTGTTTTGGGTAGGGGCCTCCCTGAAATATATAGTAATTTACTAAACTATAAATAATCTCCCATGTGTTACCTAAGTAAATTCTGTCCTTTTAATGTCATGGTTTGGTAACCTGCCTTTAAAGAGCACTCTGATCATAAAGTGGTCTAGCAGACTGATTGGTGAGCCACAGCTAAACCTGGAGACCCTGTACCTCAGGCAGTTACAGCGGTTACCCAGCTCTTTATTGAATGATGACTCCCACCCGTTGCACTCAGAATTTAAGCTTCTTCCTTCGGGCCGGATGTTAGTTATCCCAAAGTGTAAAACAAAGCGGTGTAAAACCAGCTTTATTCCGGCAGCTATCGCACAAATGAATAAGTCGTAGCGGTGTCACACAGATGCCTATTTATTTATGTATTTATTTATGTATTTATTTATTTATTAACTTCCAATGCCCATGTTTGTACTACTGTTTTTAGAGGTGACGGAGCAGGGTGTACTTTTATTAGAGATTTGTCTGTGTTGTTCTTAGAATGTGTGTCAGGATGGGTCCCTTGTCTTTTTATCTGCATACTAAATCTACCTACG